GTGTGGAAGAAACTGGGGAAGGACAAAGTCCGGCTGGACAGAGCAGGAGAGAGGCAGAGCAAGGGAGAGGGAATTCAGAGGGAAACCCAAGCCCAACCCCTCTTCATCTTAGGACATGCAGAAAGGAATGGAGAAGGGAGCAACGTGAGTTGCACGGCTTACCGGGGAGGAAAGGGCCCTGATTCCCTTCATTAGCTGCAGCTGGGAACACAGTGTTTAAATAGAAAAGCTGAGCACAGCAACTTGTTGGAAACAAATTGTGAGTTATTTGTTATTGTCGAGGCTTATCTGGGATCCTGGTGTCTTCACAACTGTGTGTGTTTTGTTGGCCTTTCAAGTCTGCAATTTCCCCATCCTGCCCTGTCAAGTTAATTGCTGCCGCATGGTTTGTGTGGATTTTTATTTACAGTTTGTATGTACTTTGTTTTCAGACTGAATTTCCTCCACTTAAAGACTGTTCTTGGGAGAGTTTTTTCTCCAGCTGAAGGTAACCTGGACATTGGGGGAAAAGTTGGAGGCATTAAAGGGACTCTTCTTACTTATGTGACTGTGTTGCCTTTGTGCCACACCCTGGGTCATCACAGGAAGGCCTGGAGGAACGTTGTTCATGGAGTCGTGATCAGTGGTGGCATTCAAATTTTTTTACTACCAGTTCTGTGGGTGTGGCTTAGTGGGCGTGGCTTGGTGGAAGGGGAAGGATACTGCAAAATTCCCATTCCCTCCCCATCCCACTAACCTGCTTTCCAGCTCCGTTCTCCTGTGCAGGACAACAAAAGGAGATGCAGCCAATCAGGTGGGACTCGGGAGGCAGCGAATAAATGGGGCCGGGGCCAGTCAGAGGTGGGATTTGCCAGTTCTCTGAACTACTCAAAATGTCAGCTACTGGTTCTCCAGAACTGGTCAGAACCAGCTGAATACCATCTCTGGCCTGGAGGAACGTTGCCCATGGGGTCGCGATGGGTCAGACATAACTTTGCAACTAACAGCATGTTTGACAAACAAACGAACAAATAAATAAGGTGAAAACAACACTTGTGGGAATTCAAATTAGCCAATTACTTCCTGAGTCCCAGCGATCAGCTACAACAAATGTAATAAAGTAAATGAGCTGAACCTGTTGTGTGAATGATGTTTCCTGCTTCTTTAAGGCAGGTTAAAAAAGAAGGCACTCACCGGGGTGTGTTTGCCCCATAAATAACCTAATTATGCAGTACAGGTAATCCTTAACTTACAACAGTTCATTTAGTGACCGTTCCAAGTCACAATGGCACTGAAAAAAAAAAACTTAAAATCGCTTTTCACACTTACGACCATTGCAGCCTCCCCCTGGTCACGTGATTTACATTCAGGTGCTTGGCCACTGACTCACATTTACGACAGTTGCAGCTTCCGGGGGGGGGAGGTCACGCAATCCCCTTTTACGACTTCCTGACAAGCAAAGTCAATGGGGAAACCAGATTCACTTAACAACCGTGTTACTCATTTAGCAACAGCAGTGATTCACTTAACCACTATGGCAAGAAAAGTCGTAAGATGGGGCAAAACTCACTTAAACAATTTTTTTCACTTAGCAACATCAATTTTGGGCTCAATTGTGGTCATATGTTGAACACTTCAGTTTTAGGGTTTACAAGGACTCCTACACCAAGCAGGCTAAGTTCACACAACCTTCTCAAACTTCCTGCCCCCCATACACATATCCACAATTAACCTAGTTAACTATTGTTACTTATTTTATACTGAACTGGGCTCTGTCAATGCATCCGTTAGGTCCTCCCTTGACCTGGGTTGATGTGTTGTGTGATGACCTGGGGCGTGGCACAAAGGCAGCCCAGCCAGAGAATAAGTAGGGGTCCCTTTATTAGCTCCAACTTTGCCCCAATGTCTCGGTTACCTTCCAGTCTGGAGAAAAACTCTCCCAGGAACCTGCAACAGCCTTTGGCTACAGATATTCCAATCCAAAATGGTGTAAACAGAAAATATTAAACTATAAATTCAACAAGGCAAGATAGGATAATAAATCCGGCAGAACAAGATAAGGAGTTCCAGAAGTGAAGTAACATGGCAGTAAATCAAACCAGTTGGGAGGATGCCAGAACCTCAGATAACAGCAGCCAAAACTAAGTGAACTCAGCATTTGTTCCCGACAACGACCCCTCCCATCTGCCTCTCCTTTAAACTCCCTTCCCAGGTGTGTCTTGTGAAGGGAATCAGGGCCCTTTCCTCCCTCGTAAGCCATGCAACCCACGTTGCTCTCTTCTCCGTTCTTCCCTGCGTGCCCTAGGATGAAGAGGGGGTGGGCCTGGGTCTTCCTCTAAACCCCCTCTCCCTTATTCTACCTCTTCTCTGCTCTGCCCAGCCGGACTTTGCTCTTCCCCAGTTTCCTTCACAGCCAATGGAGCTACTCTCCTGTTTGTCTTCCTCCTCGGATTCAGACTCCAACAGGGGGTGGGGCATGACATCCTTCCAATAAGTGGAAGGATCGCCTTCCTTCCATCCAATCCAAGATCTGGGCTTGTCAGTGCAGACAGATCTGAACTCAGTACCCATGAAAACAGAAATGGCCACTCTGGTCAAACAGGATGGGGGCTTTTTCCATCCTTCAAAATTGGTTGGCTCTTTTTCCTTTTAAAAAATATGGTTTTGTAGCCTCTCCCCACTGGAACAGGGGGGTTGGATTTGGGTTCAAATACACAAAGAAATACAGAAGGACTTGCAATTAATCATAAAGGATTAATTACTCAGCTGAAAAGAAAACACTGAACTTTTAAGAAGAGGCAAGAAAAAAATCCTGGCTCCGATTCTTGCCAGATTTCAGAGTCCCAAGTTTTTTCCGCGCTTAGCTTGAAATCCATTTCTGGCAGATAAATTCATTTTGACTTGCAAATGCAGGTAGTCCTCGACTTACGACCACAACAGGGCCCAAAGTTTCTGTGGATAAGTGAGACATTTGTTGACTTTTGCCCCGTCGTACGACCTTTCTTGCCGCCGTTGTTAAGTGAATCACTGCAGCTGATGAGTTCGTGGTGAAGAAGGAGGATGCGTGGCAAGGCGGCCAGCCAGATCGCTGCTCCCATTCACCAGAGCTCAGGGAAAGGCTGCGCGCAGAGCCAGTTTCGGGCCTCCGTGGTGAAGCAGAGGACCGTCTGGCCGGCAGCCATCTTGAATCGACGGGCAGTGTCAGCCCGTTTCTCCAGCCACTCCGGCGCCCCGTAAAGAGGACCAGAGATGGGCCATCAGCCTCTACTAGCTGCTGGATCCTGACACCTGTGAAGTTGAGATGCTTAGATCCGGTGGAGGACCTGGTCCCCTTCTCCGAAGTAGACCAGGCCCCACAGGCCTCAAGGCCAAGCCTGGTCTAGGTTTTAGGCCCTATTAGGCCCCAATGGGCTTGAGTCCCAGCAGGATGCGTTAAAACGCCCCGCTGAAGTAACACAGGGCTGAAGAAGAGTGGCTGGAGCAACGGGGACAAGGAAAGGTAATTCCCCATTTTGATTCCTGTGCTTCTCCTCCTTCCATAGGCTTAAAAACGGTCGTGAAGTGAATCTGGTTTTTCCCCTGCGGACTTGGCTTGTCAGGAGGTCGCAAAAGTGGATCAAGTGACACACACCCCGGAACACGGCGACCGTCATAAAGATGAGTCCGTGGCCAAGCGGCTGAATTTTGATCCCGTGACCGTGGGGATGCTAAAACGGTCGTTAGTGTGGAAAATGCTCCTAAGTCTCTTTTTTTTTTTTTCAGCTAAACGAACTTGGTGTAAGTGTAGTGTATTTTAAACACTTTAATTTTGGGAAAACCAGCTGCTGTGAGTAAGCAAGCAGAGACCTGGGGGGGCCAACCCAACACTTTGAATCCTACCCCCTTCCCAAGCCTAAACTTCATAGCAGTTAAGTATGAGAAGGATCTCGGAGTCCTAGTGGACAACCATTTAAATATGAGCCAGCCGTGTGGCAGCAGCTGCCAAAAAAGCCAACACAGTTCTAGGCTGCATAAACAGAGGGATAGAATCACATGAAGTGTTAATACCACTTTATAAGGCCTGGGTAAGGCCACACTTGGAATCCTGCATTCAGTTTTGGTCTCCGCGATGTAAAAAAGATGTTGAGACTCTAGAAAGAGCGCAGAGAAGAGCAACGAAGAGGATTAGGGGACTGGAGGCTAAAACGTATGAGGAACTGGATGCTGGTACTGGGTATGTCTAGTTTGATGAAAAGAAGGACTAGGGGAGACATGATAGCAGTCTTCTAGTATCTCAGGGGCTGCCCCAAAGAAGAGGGAGTCAAGCTATTCTCCAAAGCCCCTGAAGGTTGGACAAGAAGAAGAAATGGATGGAAGTTAATGCACGCAGGTTTGGTCGCCACAATATATATATAAAAAAAGATGTTTAGACTCTAGAAAGAGTGCAGAGAAGAGCAAGAAAGATGATTAGGGGACTGGAGGCTAAAACATATGAAAAACGGTTGTAGGAACTGGGTAGGTCTAGTTTAATGAAAAGAAGAAACTAGGGGAGACATGATAGAAGTGTTCCAGTATTTGAGGGGCTGCCCCGAAGAAAAGGGGGTTCAAATTATTTTCCAAAGCACCAGAAGTCAGGACAAAGAAACAATAAGGATGGAAACTGATCAAGGAGAGAAGCAACCTAGAACTAAGGAGAAATTTCCCGACTAAGAGAACAATAATCACAATTGCCTCTAGAAGGTGTGAATGCTCCAACACTGGAAGTTTCTAAGAAGAGATTGGATAACCATTTGTCTGAAGCGGTGTAGGGTTTTCTGCCTAAGCAGGGGGGTGGAATAGAAGACCTCCAAGGTCCCTTCCACCTGGGTTATTCTGTAATTCTGTTATTTCTACCTCCCTGCACCCCTTTCTCCATCCAGTTTTGCGGGCCCCCCCCCCCCAAAAAAAAAGTCCCATTCCCACAACCCCCTTCAAGATACAACCCCTCCAAGCTCCATCCAAGCAACTCAAACCCCTCACCCCAACCAAGGTGGAATACTTACGGCATGCCGTCCTTGAGAATACATCCTGGGGGACACGGCCCCCCCCCACCCCAAAGAAATTGGGGGGTGGGCGGTCGGGCGGGAGCGCTCCTTCAGCCTTTCAGATTGCAGCAAGGTTTCCGTGTCATGCCTTATTTATTTGAAAAATAAAAGCAAAACGAGGGAGAAAGAAAGAAAGAAGGAAAGAAAGAAAAGAGGAAGGGGAATATTTTTTTAAAAAAGAATTCTACGTGAGCAGAGAAAAAAGAGAAGTATTTGCACACGCGGGTCAAAGGAGAAGCGTGTTAAATACCAGCTGAAGGGGCGGGGGGGGGGCGTCTCTCTCTCTCTCTTTCCCCCCTCCCCACCGCCCATATCTTAAAGAGCACTTAGCAAGGAAGGAAAGAGGAGGGGAAGCTTTAAAAAGGAAGGGGAGAAATTTGTTCCGAGGGTGCAAGGAAGCGGGGTGTGTGTGTGTGTGTGTGTGTGTGTTATGAGGGCGTGCGGGGGTGTGCGCGCGCGGGTGTGCAAACACTGGAGGTCGGTGCCAAATCTGATCGCGGTCCTGTGCGGGAAGCGCTGCCGATTGACAAGCCGACCGGGGGGGGGAGGGGGGGGGCGGGGGAGGGAGAAAATCTCGCGCACGGAAGGTTTAAGGTGGATCCCGGCCGGCCCTCCCCTCCTCTCGCAGAAGCCGTCGACCGGAACGGCTCCGCGGAGTCGTCTGAAACGCGAAAAACGAAAAGCTGGGGTAGGATAGATAGGAATAAGAATTAGAACTAGAATAAGAATGAAAGTAGAATAGAATTAGAGTAGAATAGAATTAGAATTAGAATAAAGTAGAATAAGAACAAGAACTAGAGTAGAATAGAATTAGAATTAGAGTAGGGTAGAATAGAATAGAATAAGAATAAGCATTAGAGTAGAGTAGAATAGAGTAGAGTAAAAGAGTAGAATAGAGTAGAATTAGAATTGAATAAGAATAAGAATTAGAGTAGAACAGAATGGAAATAAAATTAGAATAAGAATAAGAATAAGGAGTGGAATAGAATAG